GTAAATATCATTTGTCTGATTTTTTTATTAGTAATTTTTAATTTATTTATTCAATTATTTATAAATCTAATGATACTTATTTTTTAATTAGCGTCACATCAACTGCTTATTATTGAATATCCCTTAGATGGATTGGATCGTTTAATGCGTTTATTGCATTCAAATATTTATGAAGTGCGAAAATATGCCGCAAAATCAATTGCATATTTATCGCTTAGAAACGGTATGTTTTTGTTATGTTTTCTTTCTGTATTTGATCAATCATGATTTATTTATTTCTTTTGTAGATAAATATAAATCTATCTTAATTAAAGATGGTCGTGCTGAATTGTTGGCATCTTTGATTAGTCTTGAAAATGAGCAATCGCTAAAAGATAATCAAGTGGCAATATCACATGCTTGTTGTGCAATGGTATGTGATTAAATTATTTATAGGGAACTTTTGCAGTATAAGTAACGCAACTTTATAATCAATTGATTATTAATACATTTTATTGATGGTATCACTTATACTGCAAGAGATTCATTATAGTAGAGATTGGATCTGTTGAACGAATCTCTATCCGGGTATTATTGGGCTACCCGAGTAAATTATTATATATATCGGGTAGCGATTGCTACCCGAGTCCGATCTCTAATTTGTTGATCTGTTACTAATGCCTTAGTGTGTTAATATTCTGATCATTTAGGCTAATTTGGCAACCAATGGTAACAATCATATTGTACTTTATGTACATTATATGATATACATGTATATATAAATATGTATATATATTTTTAATATTTTTAATTCATAACTCTTATATATTAACAGCTGAATCACAGCAACTTTTGATTCATCAACCTTCATTGTTATCCAATTTATGTCGAATGGTTGGCTACTTTCTCACAGACAGAGAAATCCAAAGGTTTATAAGTTAAAATTGTTCTATTTCTCCAGACCTTATTACAAAATTCTAACAGCCTTCAATTATAGGCATGTAGCGCGATTATTGGCCAATTTCGCGTTATATGGTAAAAATGTGTTTAGTATATAATAAGATTATCGATTGAATTGTAAAATAATTGTCAAATTTTAATTTAGAGGAAAATAAGGCTCGTATGTTGTCATATCAGCTTATAGCGATTGAAGAACACGATATGAGCCAAAGTGAAGAATCTTGGGAAAGTGTTATTCCAGCACTTATAGCTATCGGTGACTCTCCTGTGTCTGATGTCGAAATTCAACGCCATATTATACGCGCGCTTGATAATCTTTCGACAGAAGGTATTCACATACTTTATACCTAATTTCTTTTTTTGTAATTAAAAACTCACTTATTTATACAATAATTGAGATTTTTTTTTTTATACTTTCAGTCCCAACAGTTTCACTATCTAAGCTCACGTCTTGTGTTCCATTAATTAATCGTATATTGGATACAGTAAAAGATGACGATATTAAAAAACGTGCCTCATATGTGTTGAATAAAATTGCTCCATCCAGTGACTGTAGTCAATTAAAAACATATAAGCTTGGCCTAGTCGATGATTTTGATATGGCTAAGCCGACATAGTCGGTTATTATCTCAAAAAATTAAATTTGCGAACAATAAACTATAATCCAGAGACTCTCACTGGCTACGCCCGTATTTTATGTTGTTTTATTCGAGTTTCGTATATTTTTGATGTCCAATGTAAACGTTCATCCAAACACCTTACTTAGTATATTCAACCTTTTATACTTAATAAATTTATATAAAAAATAGATAAAGTGTAGATGATTCTTACTATAAATCAATTGATTAATAATTGATGAAGTTATTTAAATCAATTGAATTTTTGATCTACTTTTTTTAAAAATAATATATAGTATTGTAGTGTTTAATGTGTTTATAAAAAAAAAAAGTTGCTAGTTTTATAAATTACCGAAATAAACCACTTTTACTAAAGCGCACTTGTGTTTTACCACCTATGTTGTATTATCTCAAAACTGGCTAATTAATCTGTGTGGTGTTTTAAGTAAATGTTCTACGCTCCCAAAAACACTTCCCAAACCCCAATTCTAACCCTAAATATTAGTCCTAACATAGAAATTTTGTTAAAAATTTTGTATACGTACAAATTTATAAAGGGTAAATTTATTGCTCACCCGGGGTGAGTCTCACCCCCATAATAAAATTTGAAAAAATGCTAATATCTCAAAATTTTACTAAGATAGCCCTGTCGTGTAGCATAAACAAAAATGTTCCTCTCGCAATTTTACCTTAGGCTAACCCTAACCCTAATTTTTTTAGTATGACCGGGGTTCCTTTTTGTATTTAAGGGGGTGAGTAATTCACCATGTGTCAAATAAATTATTTCATTTTATAAAAATTAAAAAAATCTATAAAAAGATATAATA